GCTCCAGCCGAGCCTAGCTTCAAGGTACCAACAACCGAACCATTGTACATACCATGCATCGTTTGATTTTTGCTTTGTGATATGACCCTTCTTGAACTTTGTTTGCCACCGAGACGGTGTCATTCAAGTTTGGGGGAGTGTGTGTGTTATTTGACATGTTTTCTTTGATCTTATTTCGAGTTATCATCCTTGAGTCTTGCATTGCATAATCTAAGGCATAGAAAATACAAAACAAATGATAAAAATTTTAAAAATTTTCCAAAAAAGTCATGTAGTTTGCATTTCAATTGTTAAATATTGTAGGATTGAGTCTAGAATTTTTTAAAAAATCATTTAGGTTGTTTACTTTTGCATAAGGGGGAAAATTTTTCTTTAAAAAGTGTTTTAAGCTCATGAATTGTTTCAAGGCCCTAGTTAGTAGTTCTTTGATGCATTGTTCACTCTTTGAACCAATAAGGACCTAAACAGCTATACATCAATCAAAATTATGGATTTAAGCACAGACTTGCAACATCCTAACAGAGCTAAGCAATGAATAAGAATGAAGCAAAGGCAAGATCTTTCAATGCATACTATCTAACTATCAAGTCAAGAATTTCAAAACCAGCATTATCTAGCCCTAAGCGAATCATCTAGCAAGGTGAACTATCACTTTGGTGTCACTGAACAAAGGGAACATAGACCAAGCTAGACTATCAAGCCAAATAAGGTAACCATGCTTAGAGAAGAGATATCAAGACATCAAGTGAACCATATGCATCTATCAAACCATATTCAATCAAAAGGAGCAAGCTTTATCAACATTAATCACTTTGTAAGAGAAGGAGACAACATAGAACCATTAAACAAGCCTACTCACCCTTAATCACATCTTAATCACCACTTTCTCTACTTAGAGCCCTAAATCTAAAGAAGACTACTCACTAATCATGTATAATCCAATTGATTTGGAGTTAACATAACTAGATGAGGTTAAAATGAAAATAAGATAAAACTAATCTACCAAGATGCAAGAACAAATGATTAAAGACATGATTAAACCATAGAAATGCAAACTTTATTAAAGATCAAGATCCTTAAGGCAAATCGCCCTTTAAGGTTTAGAGAGAGTTTTTGAGAAAGTTAAACTTAAATAAAATAAAACTTGATCAGGATAATGTTTTGTGGCATCCCTTTTATAGTAGAGAGCCAAAAGAAGCATAAAAAACCTAAAAAGATAAGATAAGATTAAGAAAAGTCAAATGGTCAACGTGGATGAGTTGCATCGAGGTTGTACAATCGATGTTCTGCTCGATATGCGACCTCGATATGGTCTGTGCAGCGTGTATCGACGTCCTTCCTCGATGCTGGTCCTCGATGCAGACCAACGGCTTGGAATCCTCGTGCTGATCCTTCTCCTCTCGTCCTCCTGCTTGCATCGAGCATACTCCACGGGTGTTCTGCTCGATATGGACCAGACTTTACAAGAACTCCGCTTTTGACATCTTCTTTGATCATGGGCTGCTTCCATCTCCTTCCCAGCTCAAAAAAACTCCAGAAACACCTGAAAACTACCACAAACATGCACATGTATGCAATCCTAAGCTAAATGCATGCTATGTTGATTATAAGTGCAAATGATATTAAAATACTAAACTATAATGCAAAAACAGAGGAAAAGATGCATGAAATGCAGCCTAAAATGATCTAAAATAGCAAGCTATCAACTGACTGTCTTGGAAAGGGTCACTTCGGCAGCCAACCCTCCCTACGTCCCTTTTAATCCCCACCTTCCCGCCAGAGGGGATTGGACGGATTATCCTTCGGCTCACTACATCGCTATTCATGGAAACTATATCCTCTACGGCTATATGGGCTACCTTTCCGTGCTTGTTGACTTATGCCGTTGCTCTTGCATTTGTCCTAGCTAGCTGCATCTGTTAGCATGGTGGCTACTTAATGCGTATCTGGTATTCTCACACTTATATGGGATTCCTCTGTGGAGATCCATTGTGCTGCTTTCATACTGACTGCCCCGAATCTCAACCAATTTTCTGTGCTACATTTTGCATACCGGGAAGGATCGTCCTACTATGATCTTTGGAGAATGGTAGGGGAGTAGGAACTGGAGGGAACGTAATTTCATCTGGATGGTTGGTCAGGGAGTTGGCGTTCTTCGGTCTTGGCGAGTCAGTGGTGAGTTTGTCGGTCAATTGATTCTCGATGCCCCCTCTTTGGAGTTTTCCCTCTTTCTGACTCTTGACTTCTTCCTGTACAGTGTCCGAGACCCGTGGATATACCACGAGTTGAGCCTGGAGTGTTTGTCTGTGATGGACGAGAGATTATGAATCTTTGACTTTCTGTTGTCTCATGTATGTATCCATTAGAGCTCGCTCGTGCTCCCACCCCGTGCTTCGATGTGCATGCCGGTATGTCCGTCTCTTCTCGGGGTTCTTTCCATCTTTTTATTTTGCCATGTCTCGATTGATTCTTGTGTAACATATTTGGTACCATGGCTCGAGTCCCTGTTCGGAACATATGCTTCTGATGGGTTGCTGCCCAACACTAGGATCACTCGAAGTGTGGAGAGATTGTCTACTTAGCGCCCTCACCTGAGGCATCGTCTCTCTTCGCCTGTTGGCCCTTCTCCGTGGGCTGGGCCTTCTTCTGCTTGCTTAGGCTTGCTGTTCGACGTATCTTCCACTTCGGGTTTGGTTCTCCCATGGTAAGAGAAGTGACATCCGACTCAGAGCGTCCTCCTCTATCGGTTGCTCCCTCGGGGTTCATCGAGTCTGCCTATTTTGGGATAGCGGCATACTGTTTTGGAACTCCATAGTTCCCTGGCGGGGGTAAACCTGTAGTGCTTTTTTCCGTTTTGCTTTGTTCGCGATGATGGTGTCTTGAACCTGTCCGTCTCATCCAGGGTCTCCAAGCGCTTTCACTGCTTGAGCATGAGTTGCTGGCGGCGGAGTGCCGCGAGCGTGGTTTTTCTGACCGGGCCAGCAAACTTTAGATTGAGCTGATTTTATCCCAGGATTACTCACCGAGTCGCAGGTTTTCCTCTCACGTAGGGGAGTTGGGAGAGGAGGTGTCTCGCCTTAGGACAGCCGTCGTGACTTGGGCGATAAGAACTTCGAGATCCGCCTTCTTCGTGACATGATCGCAATGTTCCAATGGTTTTGCCCCAAATGTTGAGTCTAGTGCCATGCTTGTGGCTGTCCGGGCATTGGCGGATAGCCAAGCTTAGCTGACCCAACTTCTGCAGGAGCGAGATGCGCGATGGTGCCCAGATGACTATAGTAAGGCTGGGACTTTCGCGTACCATGGGATTATGGCAGCATCCCCTTAAGTTCAGCAACCGGTCCTTCTCACCTACCATCTCCTTAGCCGCCTCACTATGGGTGTCTTTGCGAATCGCCCCTTCTGACTTATATTTTAAGACCCTTGTTGCATCTTTTTCTTTTCCTTTTTGTGACGAACACCTTCAGCCGTTTTAAGGCTTTATTAATTTGATGCTTTCACCATTATTTGATGTCTTCATTACGTGTTTTGTCTGTGCCTTTAGATTTTACCAAGTATCGGCTCACGTTTCGCTTATCACGATGTTGTCATGGGGAGTGCACGTGCAGTCAACTCGATTTTCAGGGATTTCCTTGCCCCACCGTTGGGTTTTATGCAAGGAATAAAGAACTCTTTGGCCTCGTATGCCGTCCTTTCTCTGCCTCAGGAGGTCTTCTATTCGACTGGACTGCATATGCCGAAGCGCGAGTGTTGTTGACCGGTCGGGGCCTTCGACTCTGATGGACATTGGCCCTACTTTCTCTGAAGCCTCCGGGGTGGAGGCCCAAGGGCAACAGCCCCGGCTGGCGACCTGGCTCCAGGGACAGGGATATCCTTCCCGCTCTGCTTCATCTTCCGGCTTTTGCCGTGCGGTGGCTCCCGGGCGGGTCCACCTTCTTTAGTCACTATGGGTTTATGGGACCATTCCGGCAGGCGGTCACAGATAACGTTGCTGACTACTTTCTTTGTGGGACTACATATTTGTCTACTCCCTCCTTCTAGTGCCAGGGGGTGTGTGTTCATCTGGGTAGCAAAGTTGGGTCTCCAAGTTTCGTTCTCTGGAGGGTTGAGCGGTTTGCGGTCCTAGGGTGAAAGTCTGACTAAGCCATGTCAACACTAGAATCGAGTAAGTCGATTCTTGGAGAGAATTGGAAAGGGGTTTTCTTCCTGAAGGTTCTCCAATGCTCAAGTTAGATAACGCCCTACCGGGAACAGTTACTCAGTAGGGTGGATATATGGTGGTGTTATAGTTTGGGTACTCCGTCAAAGATCGTGATACCCGTCTGTTATTTGGTGAAGGTGGAAGTACGATAGGTGGACAATTGTGAGATTTGAGTTGGAACTCTCTCTACATGGATGTTAAAGTAGAGGATTATGAAGGACAGAAAAGCTTATCTAGGCTGGCGTTCCTTCTGGGGGACCACAAACATACTCCCTTCTGTTTCGCTGTATGACTGGGATTGCGGTGTGCTTTGGAAAGGACTTAGAAGCAAGATGATTCATTTTCCTTTTATGGTCAACTTCTCTTTTGTGTATTATCTCTAAATCTGGTTTTTTATCTCGAATCCTTTCATCTCTTAATTCTCCCTTTCTCTTTTGACATTTGCTTCGCTTTTATACTCCCTCTCTCTTGTTCTGTCCAATCAATGCGGCATATGGCTAGAACATGTAGACTAGCACAAACGTTTTCTACTGTGAAAACTCGCCAACTGTTTGAAAATAATTTGTTAGGAAACCGTTAAAGCAGATCTAAAAAAAGAGATTATCATGTTAATAGGACCCATTACCAATGTGTCATATCCTAGTTGGACACGGTGAAAGTGAGTATATATATATATATATATATATCTCAATTGTGTTTACTGTTTAGCACAAATCACAGTTACAAGGTCTATATTTCTAATGCAAACATATTAGAAGAGCCAACCGGGCATTCCAAAACATCGAACCAAACCGATAGTATGCGGAGTAATCACCCAAAGGTTTTTGACTCTTTCTTTAATTATCTTTCAGTCTTCCTCATGTTTGGGAACTTATATCTTCAATTTTCCATTTTCCTAACATGTTGAATCATGGATTCCAATTCTCATTTGTATTGTTATTTTAACTAAATCATTAAAACGTTCAGACACGAAAAAAATGGTTATGATATGCCCACTAAACACTGAGCATTTGGATGGACTAAGAGATTTTTTGATGTGGAAGAAATGGATGCTTGCACATCTGTCAGTTCTTGGATTGAAAGATGTGGTAAAAGAATCACCGTCGTCGTAATCTCCATGACCTGGAATTGAGATAAAAAAAAAAAACAAAGATGAAGATGTATTCAAAGAGAGACTTAAGAAACAAGAAGCCAATAGGCTTGAACATATAGAAAGGACAATGAATACGATCATTAATGTTGGAGATCATGTTTTGCGAAGTTTTGATGCACTGATGCGTATATTTGGTCTATGTTGGAAATGCGTTATCTCTCTAAGTCTCTTCCTTATCAAAATCATATGTAGCACAAAATTTTATACATTTAAGATGGTAAGATCGAACTCGATTAATCAGAATATCGAAGATTACTGAAACCTGGTATTTTGTTTTGGTAGTGTGAGTATCTCAGTTTCAAACAAAAAAGGTACAAGGAGAATTTCAATTACGACATATACACTTTATAGAGGAAATGACGACTGTAGTAAAGTCTAAGAGCATCTCAAACACTTAAAGATACTCATATATATAAAAAAAATTAATATGCACTCATATATATATAAAAATTAATATGTTTTGATATAATTTAATTAAATAATTAAATTTAAATTAAATAACAAATTGAACCAATCATAGAATAATACATAGTATTAGAGTTTCTCAGGTTTATTTTGTTGGGTATCTCAAAAGAGACCTCCCTCCCTCCTTTTTTCTAAATTTTCATTAATTTAATATTGAGATATTCTCTCACAAACTACTGAGAACATCTTTAACGGTATCCTAAATAGTGTATCTGATAAATATTTTATTAATTAAAAAAAATTAAGCTAGTTACATGATGACATATGGCAAGATACGTTTCTTAAGGTTTATCAAAGAAGAGACATATCTCCGTCTCTCTTCTCATTTAATGTTTTATATTTTTAAATTGTGAGATATTCCATCAAATATGACTAATAGAAATACTCTGATGGGTTGCTCTAAGAGCATCTCCATCAGTATTTTTTGTTGAATATCTCAACAATTTAAAAAAGAAAAACAGAAAAAGTATGAGAAAGAGAGATATGTTTTTTAAATAATTTTTTTTTAATACTTACACATGTTTGTATTTAAGTGGTTTTTAAAATAAAGTATTAAAATTTAATTCAGTTACTAGAATTTATTAAAATATAAATATCTGTTAGTTTAGAAATATGTTTTAGATTTTTTAGCAATAAAGATGCTCTCAAAGCATTCACATTCTTTATATACGTGAAAAGAATATCTTAACAATTAAATAGTATTATTTAAATATAGCTGGGATAGGTTAAATAATTATTTATAATCTTAATATTAATAAGTTAGAAAAAACTGATTTGTCATCACCATAAGAAAAATTAGTGCATTTCAAATATGACATGAAAATGTAATATGACAAGTTTCCTAAAATAAACGAAATATCTTGATTGACTGAGGTAAAATTAAACAAATTGTAGAATCTTAACAATTATTTGAGAAGCATGTTTAATGAAAACACCTTAGCAAAAGTTAGTGCAAAACAATGCCACATCATAAATGTGACATAAAAAATTTCCTAAAATAAGTAAAATATTTTGATTTTTTAAGTTAAAACTAAATAAATATCATTTTTAAATAAGAAAATTTTATATCATATATGAATGAATTCTCATTATATAGCAAGAATTTAAAATTATAATCAAACAAAAAAATAAAGAGATAGAAAAATAAATTATAAGTATCCTGTTAGCTAACTTTTGTATTATAATATTGTATATATGAATAAAAAGTAGATTAGAAGTAAAAATTAATCTTTACGACTTTAATTTTATGCAAATATATCAGGCTATATTTTTGGTTTTAAGCATCTTCAACCCACTTTTATTTTAATTTAGAGGAATATTAAAAATTATTATTTTTTCCTCCAATTACAAAAGAAAAAATAACAATCTTTTTTTTCCTGTAAAAATAGAAATATGCTGGAGAGAAGTTCACTTATATTTTAGAGGAAAAATATGAAAATACATTAGAGATGATCTTAATGTTTAATATATTATTAAATGTTAAGAAAAAAGTATGAGTCAAAGACAAAACAAAAAATAAGTAAGAATAATTTTGATCGATTTTAAGTTTTTATTTAAAATATTTAAAAATATTATCTTACATATTTTAATTCTTTAATGCATATATTTTTAATATATTAAAACATTGTTTCATAAATCAAGTTTTGTATATGTTATGATCCATTATATTTAATATTAACAAATATATTAAAGTTAGGAAGAGATCAACTCTTACTTTTTAATAACAATCAAATATTAAAATACATATTATTTCACACCTTAAATCATACACATATAAGTTTAGATCTGATTGGCTTCAACGATTCACTTACAAAGAGTTTGTGGAAGCGAGCGATTGTGGATTATAAAAAATTTGATGAGGAGATGAGTGGAGAGCTACCGAAGAATTTTATAAAATATGATTTCACAAATTTTATGATAAATTTTTATTGAGAAACTATTATATCATCAAATGCTGAAAAATAAGGAAGTTTGATTAAATACAAAATGATAGAAGCGATTTTCGTGATTGTTGTTAAACACCAATAATTGCATCGTGTAAAAACATAACGTTTGCGAAAAATATCAGAAAAAACATACTAACACCTAAATATTATAATTCACTTATTTATCACTCATACCTACATGCATAAACATACTTATTATTATGTTTTTAAAAAAAAATCAACAGTACATTATAAAAATATATATTACAAAACATATATTTTGTTATTTTCTTTTAACATATAAAAGCCATACTTCGATGTTCTTACAAATATGCGTGTAGATATAAATATTAATTGTGCAAAACTCAAACTCGATTGCAAACTTGTCGTGAATACATTTTGTTAATCTCGATTACACTCTAATTTTAATTTTATTTGTTAGACAATATATATTGTTTTAAAAATCTTTATCTGTGCTAAGAGCGGTAAGGTGGTTGGTACGCACGAATGTGCGGGCCAACCATCTACACGCTCTTAGGATAAATAAATATGATAGAATTCATTTTTGTTTAATTAACAATAGATCAATAAAAAATGTATGCTTAAAATATAGAAGAAATGCTCTAAAATGACCCAGAATGATAAACTAATGTGAAATGAGTACCCCATTGAGGGAAAATTATGAAAATTACCTTTTTATGATTTTTATAGATACCAGCGCTACCCTTCTAGCTACTGTTATTTGTAGTCTAATGACAGACTACTGGCAGACTGAATGTAGACTATTGACAGACTGATTGGTCAAATAATTGAATGTAGACTAATGGCAGACTAACGGCAGACTGAATGCAGACTACTGGCAGACTGATTGGTCAAATAATTGAATGTAGACTACTGGCAGACTAATGGTAGACTAATTGCAAATTACTGACAGACTAATAGCAGACTGAAAGCAAACTAATGGACCTCTCTAATAGAAGGGTCATGTTTCATAATAAAATTGTCAAGTGGGTTATTTCAAAAATTATCCCTAAAATATATATATTGGCAAGATTATATTATGTAAAGAGGAAAAGAAAGTATTATATAGCTAATATTCAAAATATATTATAATAATTTAATTATTATTTAATATAATTTTTACATTTGAATTTATGTATTACTGTAAACGTTAGGAAACATAAAAAGTTTTCAAAGGACACAAAACGATATGAAACGTTTGTGTGATTGTTGTTGAACACTAAAATTGTATATCTATAAAAACATAATATTTAAATAATGCATAAGAAAATTAATCAATACTTAAATATTACAACTAATTATGTCTATAAAAAATTATACTTGAACATGCATGCAGACCAAAAATAAAAATTAAATAAATTATTATATATTTGAATGTTATCCCGTTTATTTAGTTATCATATTTACATTTTTATCCAAATAAATATTTTAAATATTTTTTATCTTCACTTTCTATTGTAATGTATAATATTTTTATTTAATTTATCATTATTTTTTATTATCAAATGTTTATTATTTTATTATTAATACATAATTAATCATATACAAATAAAACACCTTCAATATTATATTAATCATAATTGAACATATAATATGTTTTATAGCTTGCACATGGTGCAGACCGATACTATATTAATCATAATTGAACATATAAAATATTTTATAGCCTGCACACGGTGCAGACCGATCACCTAGTATAACATAAATACACTAGATTATAATACTAAAATTAAAAAAAAAAAACAAAAAACGATAATTACAATGATTTTAGTTTTTTACATATTTATATAATATATTGCTTAAATATAATTACAAAAGTTTACAACAAATCTATATATATATATGTATATTATAATTACATATAGAAAAAGAAAATAATAAATTGTCCAATATAGGAGTAAATACTCTATAATTAATGGTGTTGGAGGTATGATATATTATTTTTTTGAAAAGTTATTAATTTATAAAGAATTATAATAATAATATTTAAACAAGTTTTAAATAAACATAATATTAGATAATAGAATTTAAAATAAAATAAAATTATGATAAATTAATTTAAAGAATACAATAGTTATAAAATGTTATAATAATTATTCATTTTTGAAAGTTTTAAAAATAACACAATTTAAAATATATTTTCTTTTCAAACAATAGTTACAATGTGAAAGGAAAAAATTATATATTTACATTTATAGAACCATATATTTGTATATATATTTTTAACACTTTTAAAAATTAA